ATATGAAATATATTTTCATATAAATTTTTTGGTTTATACTATAAAAATATCTTATTGCACACGGCGCAATATCATAATCTACATTAAAATCAGAAACCTTAATCTTAAATCCTTCATTATTTCTTGTAGGCTTTAGTTTTAATCTGACGACAGGAAATTAATTTTGTTGCTTTCTTGTTTAAATTATTAAACATCTATTTTTATAGTTATTTATTTTTATATTCGAGTAGTGAAAGAAATGTGTGCATTTGTGCGTGCTTCGTGTATGTATGTGTGTGTACGTTTATAAGTACAAATATGTCATATCAGTTTTATTTCCAGGAAATATTCATCACAAACATCATTAAAAATATTACTTATTTATAAAGTGAATGTCACCTGACAGTCAGGTCTCGATGAACGTTGTGCTGGTCGTTGGAGTCATTTTTTCTGCTCTGTTGGGTGTTGTCCTGTATATGCGACGAAAAATGAATGAATCTGGCAATATTTTGAGCGGCAGCAATATAGAAAATTTGCAGGGCAAAATCATTGTAGTCACAGGTTGAAAGATTCACAGTGACAATTTATCAATGTTAAATATACCAAACCTCATTGACGAAAATATTTTATTTGATAAGAATTTTGCATAGAACATACTTAAATCTTTAAATTTTGTTATATCCGGTACTAAAATTAATCAAAAACAGAATTAAATATAAAAATGCAGGACTTTGCAACTTTTTCCAGGTGGTTCAAACGGCATAGGCAAGGCACTGGTAAGTGAGTTGGCTGGAGCAGGAGCAAAAGTTGTTAATGGAAGCAGAAGATTGTCCGAACTGCGTACTGGTCCTCATCCAAACGTCTCAACCCAGTATACAAAATCTACAAATTTCCATTATTTAAAAAATTAACATTTAACAAGTTTTTTAATTTATTCTTATTAAAATTTTGAATAATTGAAAGAAATGAAAAATCTGAAAGATTATCAGATAACATACATTTGGATTTGTCGTCGTTCAAATCCATTGAGACATTTTTTAAAGAAATCATACAAAAGTATGGATACATCGACATATTGATAAACAATGCAGGTTTGAAATTTTTCAAATGTTCGTTTTGATGGACGTTTGATCACTTAGCAACGCAATCGCTTGATGTTTTGTTTCACAAATATCGAGTTTTATTAATGCAATTATAAATTTTTTTGAAAAATTTTAATTTTAAACAAACAGCATGTATGGGTCCAAAGCGGACAAGCGATGACAACATTGATTACTGCTTTCAAGTCAACTACCTCGGTCACTTTTTTCTATCAAAGTTGTTTATTAATAATCATTTGAAGAACGAAAATAGAACGTTAGTAAATGACCGAATTACTGAATGTTGGAAATAAAAAATTGTTAATAGACTACCTGAAAAAGTTAACAATCAAGTTATACATTCAATTCATTTGCAGAAATCAACGCTTAACGATCATAAATTTAGCTTCGAACGTGTTCGATATGGGTTCGTTTATATCCGATAACGACATCACGTCTTTGACCAACCAGAATGCTGCAAATTACACGTTACTCAATGGATACGCAAACAGCAAGCTCTGCATGATTCTTTTCAGCACGGAGTTAGACAGAAGATATCGACATCGCGGTATTCAGACAATTGCTGTTCATCCGGGTTTGAATCTATACGATTCTAAATTTTGTTGGCCAAATTATTTTTTTCTGTAATTCTTTTTCTGTAAGCTGCATGCAGACTGATGAAAAACTACTATCCACCGCGATAAAATATTATTAGGTTACGTAAAAACCGGTCTGCAGAAACATTACCCAGGTTTGGTGGGTGTTATATTGAGGTGCGTTGCATCGAAGTTATTCAGGACGCCAGAAGAAGCGGTCAAAGGCATTTTGTTTTGCTGTGTTCGTGAGGACAAAGCTGCTTTGTGCGGAAAGGTATAGTATAAAACTTGATTTCTGATGGTAAGTAGTAAAAAGTAAAGCTTTACAAAAGTGTTTAAATTTTCATTAATTAAATTAACAAGTTTTTGTGAAGTTATTTTCATGTTCAGGTGTTATTTGATGGTCGTTTAATGGAAAAATGGTATATTGAAACTAACAAGGAATTGAGATCCCAAAAGAAAGCAATAATGTTATGGGAACTTTCAGAAAAAATATTGGAATCGTCGAAAATTGCTTCAACTGATATATAAATTTTAAAATGATACAAAATATGTTCAGTTCATGTTTACTTCTAAATTTAATAACAGTTTGGATTTCATTATAAATAGCCAATACTTTGAGAGAACTTAAGCATCAACTAGCGATAAAACATAATAGATTTTACAAATTTTTCGTGTTTGTTAAGGGCGCTATATGAAGTTGCGCTAGAAACTAAAATTCTAAAAGTAGGATACTTCAAAAATCTATCATACTAGTGCGACAAAACAGTTGTTTTAAACAATTTTGTGTGTGTAAATGGAATAAGTTAGTGATCATATCGAGGTCGCCACATGAACATAGACTTGATAAATCGAAACGCTATTTTATAAATTTATAAGACACTTTAGACCATATGTAATTTTTGATAGTATGATTGGTTACTAAAAACTTTTTGTTTGAACGCCCAATTCGAAAATATTAAAGTACTTTCCAGTATATTAGGATACAATAAAACTTACTATTTTTGATATTATGATTATAACTCGTCAATTAGTTTGTCATAATTAATAGATTTATTTAATAAATCTAATAGTAGATAATAATAATAATAGATAGATAATAATAATATATATTTAATAACTCTATCTATTTATCAATCAAATAGCGCCATTTCCATTTCCTGGGTGTTCAACGCGCTCATCAATGAATTTCACTAACGGGCGGGTTTTGAGACTCGCTCTGAACTTCGTAAGTGATGAAGAAGTCTTTTTAGAGAAGGAGTTAGAAAGTTTCAGAAACAAGGACCAGAAAAAGCAAACGCAGGTTTAGCATAGAGTGTTTAACAGGAGTTGAGAAGAAGTGAGAGCAAGATGACGAGCGTAAACCGGGGGCGGTTAGGTTCAATTAATATATCTAATAAATACTTAGGAAATAATTTAATTTTAGACTTGTACATTAATGTGCAGATTTAAAAAAAATATTCTATATTTTATAGGTAGCCTGTGCAAGAGAACAAGATACGGAGACAGTGAGAAAAGATAGACTATAAACTATTCAATTTTATTGGCTTAATGTATTAATGTAGATCTTAAAAAAAATTATTCTGGCAATTACAGAAAATCAACGTTTGCATTGTCTAATGGAAGGTTTAAATAAAATCTGAAAATTAAGTATAAATTAGGAAATGTTGCAAATGTTGCAATAATATTATTTTATTTATGAAAAACATACCACATAAATAAATAATATTTTCTTTACTTGGAAAAGTCATTAATTGTAAAACTTAATTTGTCGGTTCTGCTAGTTTTAAATCTTGTTCATAACATTTTAAGTTTACTATTGAAGAATCACTGACATTTTTGTCATGAACAATTGTTTTGAATTTATTATTAATAGTTTTATATCTCTCAGATCTTTTATAATGTTACTAATTAAAGAATCGTATACAACAACAAATTACTTAAAATGTTCTTTGCCACTGCTTCTTATTTCCTGTTCTGGAATTTCATCATCAAATAGTTATCCTATTTTCAGCCGTTTTTCATAGTTAATACTGCAATATCATTAACTTTTTCTTCTTTTTCTAAATTGTCAAAATCATCTCTGACAGTTTGTATAAAATCTATCAACGAGTCATATATTATGAAACTGCTGTGTTCAGTGGCGGATCTAGACAACTTTGACTGGAGGGTTGCAAAAATTTGAAAATGTTTTAGTTTTCACAGGAAGGGAAGGGACACAAATTTTTCACGGAGGGCCAAGATTTGGGGTAGTGTGGCTGTCGACATTTTTTTGCTTATAACGTTCAATTTTTGGTCGATTTTACACATTAAAAGGTCTTTTTTCTGAATTTTAAGAAAAAAGTGGCTATTTCCATACAACACCAAAAAAAGCCAATAAAAATTTATTTTTTAAAAGATAAAAAAATTGAAGCCTAATATTACGGGCCCTAAGCGGCCAAGGCCTTAGTCGTAATTTTATGGGGGCAAAAGTCGGAGTCGGAGTTGGATATTTTTTTTATCCTACTCTGGAAAGTAATATAAATTTGAAAATTTTTTATTTTATTTTTTAAGATGGTGTTTTCATCATGGATATATATATATATATATATATAATAATTTTCATGATAAATAATTATACTCATTATATTTGGTTAACTTTTAAATTTATAGCTAAAAGCATGGGTTTAAAAAAACAGTTTTATCTATGGTTAAAAGTGAATTTTTTAGTTTGATAAAATTTAAAACCATATCTGTAACTTTTTCTGGTTCACGTTGGAGTAGCAATAGGAAAGCGTCGAAGTCAAAGAGTCGGTTTTTCCTGGAATGTTCTCCATTTTGTCTTCTTAGGCTTCTTGTACGTTTATTTTCTTTCAACAATCTGCATGTCATTTGACATTTGACCAAAAGTGTTTTATTTATTTTATTTATTTAATAATTAATTTTTAGTACAATACAACATAACGAAGGTAACGTTCGCAAAGGTTCAACTCAGCGACGGTGAAGCATATTAAAAGGCAGATTATGAAAAAACCGATTAAATAATAAGTATTTAAAGGTTTCATGAAATGAAAAAATATTTTATTCAATCGAAGATTTAAACCTGTCGCACCGTAAATCGACAGCGAGTATTATAACAATATAAAACAAAAATTTCTCCCGTTTCGTGCACATCTCCAAATATTGGATTGAATGCGTCATCCATACATTTCTAAATTTGCTTCACCGGTAACAAAAAAGTTAAAAAGTCACCAAAAATCCATTTATGTGTTCATTTTAAATCAAAAATACTTGTATATTCTAATTTCAATTTCATTCTCTAAAATATCATATAAAACAAAACTTTCTCCTGTTTCGTGCACATCCCCAAATATTGGATTGAATGCGTCACCCATACATTTCTAAATTTGCTTCACCGGTAACAAAAAAGTTAAAAAGTCACCAAAAATTCATTTATGTGTGCATTTCAAAAATACTTGTAATGCATCACCTATACATCTTCAGACTGAATGTATTTTATGCAACACTGCTCTACTTACCCCATAAAATGTTGTTCATTAAACACTGCTCCCGTTAGCCATCTTTAGTCTTCAACATAAGTTGTTCACTCCTGCACTACGATGAAGTGCGAATCGGTTTTTGCCTGTAGAGCTGTGTTAATTTTACTGGCATAATTAATGAAACTAAAGCAGCTCAATTAAACTAATTTTTGAATGTAAAAATGAGTTAAATTAAAAATTATGAATTGTTGTCTTGATAAATCATCAAAAAATGTTGGGTGTCATGTTTTATCTATAATAATAGAGTTTATGTATTTTCATTTTTTTAAATATTGTATTATATAACAAAATGTTGCACATAGTACATAGACCACAATCCAAAGAATAACTTACATGGTTTATTAATAATAAATATCGGTATCAGTAGTGGTCTAGTTCTCCATAAAAACTATCAAATAATACTATTTTATAATTTCATACTAAGTTACATTTTGTAATTGATTGTTTTTTTTTAATTTTACAAGCTTGATTAAATGAAACAAAAAGAATGCAACCTACCTAGAGAGCTGCCTGATGCAGGTTCATTCAATTGTCAATTATATTTGACCTAGTAGAGACCGAGAAATATTACAATTATACAGCACTTTAGTCTAATCACTGCATGTGATGAGGGTACATTTTTTATGAACCCAGCAGAAACAGTTTTGACACTGAATCCACAACTAACTCATCGGCGATTTCATTACAACAAAATAAACATTCATTTATCATGTCATCGGAATTAGCAATCACATCATCAAATATGTTTATTCTAAGTCTTATTGGATCAAATTCTTTTTCAATTGGTTTGCTTTTATCTAACATGAGCATGACCGTGTAGACGAAAATTCCACAGTTGTGGCCATCCATCTGCTTTAGCAGTCCATTATGCACTTCAAAATTGAAATTTTCCCAAAGTTGTTTGTTAATTCTTTGGGACATACGCTCAAATCTTTTTTCAAATTGTTTTATTCCCAAAGTAGATGATCCAAGAGGGTTATAGAAAAATATTTTGTTTAGATTATTATCTACAATTGTTAAACAGTAATGATAGTTGTTGACGACAAGTGGGGAAAATAACTAATTAGCATTAAAAGAGTATTTGGAGATGGGGCCAGCACAAATAAAATTTTGAAACATTACAGTAGTGGACAAGTCACAAGGTATATAGATTGAATTAGTAGACCAGTGAGACAAATAATCTAAAAGTACGCTACTTACCCATTTTTCCCCAATCACAGTCTGAAAATCCGAAAGCAACAACCTATCATTTCCTTTTTTGGCAACGTAGCAATTTCTACTGACTATTTGTTCGTAATAGCATTTGTTGCTCAGAATGTTGGAATTTGAGATACAGATACTGCTGTGGCCATTTGCACTTTGATCATTGCTGCAAATTATTGTGGGTATTTTAACGGGAACTATGCTGTTGAAATAACTGTTCAAAGGTTTACGTTTCCCCCAATAATTTTTAAATTTGTCTACCCATTTAGCAATTGGTGTTTAATAAACCTGAAACAATTTTCAACTTTTCTTTTGCTTGTTCTTTTTATTCAAAAGAACTGTCTAAAGAGGCAAAATCGAAATATATTTTTTAAAACAATTTCCGCGAAAGTCTTATTACAATATTCGTTTGGCTCCGTCTGTTCGTCGTTCACCAAACACAATTTGTCGTTAACATGTTCAAAAATTTTTGGGCCTTTTCGATAGAATGGGCTACTTTCGTAAATTGTCTCCAATTCATTAACTTCATTATCGTCATCATCGTAAACGTGTTCAATTAGATCGTAATGACTTTCTTAATTGATTGTTCATTCATGAAACTCATCAAAATGACTATATAAAGATGGATTTTTTATACCGAACATGTAATATGAAAAAATGAAGTGATTAAATTTATCATGCATGTATAATTTTTGGCTTGGAGTATTACGCTAAAGGCATTCATATAAAATTTAACAACATCTTTTTTACTGAAATTTTTTTGACAAATCGAACTATGTTTTTAAAAAGCTTTATCATCATTTGATTTTTTGGGGTACATTCGCTAATTCACCATTTGAATGCCGTTGCCAGGTAACCTCTCAAATCAACTCCAATCTAACCAGTTGAAACGGCATTTATCATTGCCATTGAGTGGTCTGTAACCGCGTTCATAAAAATTGGCCAGGCGTTTACCTTTTTTATAAAATTTATCAAATGTTAAGCAACTGATGCTGTGCCATGGCGATCGCTTATAAAATCGAAAATTTGAGCGTAACCCGCATCAAGACCTACTACGGCGCTGTATAGATATATAGTTTGTTTTTTATAAAAACGACGAATCACAGACCTCGTTGAATCTAAATGTATTGTTGGTAAGTCTGTCTGACCTATCTCAAAATAACTTCAATTTGGTTGTCAGAAAAAAAGTGGCATAAAATAGAACGGCTGAAAGCTGAAACTGCTTGTATATATTTGCTTGCTTGCAACTGCTTGCTTCACCCGTTTTTTGACACATTTGACGTTCTATTAGATCAATAACGTCATCTTTTGCCTTATCGCCTACAGCCATAGCTTCACATCTCACATTTTTAAATACTCCCAACGAATGAATATTTTGTAGATTCCTCTGTTTTATTAATGCAGCATTGGCGGATCTCATATATTTTTCATGTAAAACAGACGGATGTTTTTCTACGTTGGCCCATTAGTTGTCCTACTAATTTTCCATTATAGTTATAATTAGTAGACGATGTATAAATATCAATTTTTTTGTGACTTACATTAACCTTAAATAATCTGCACATCCTACGAACGATTCTCGCGTTTACTATTTGTGTAGCAATGCAGGGCGAAATGGCATTTTCTACCGCGGAGCAGATACGCTCAGTTGATGTTGCCTCTTTTTTGCGGAGGCCTTGGTACACCTCTTCTTCTACTGCACTACTTAAAATATGCTCGGTGCAGTTGGTGTTCGTCCTGCAACTAGCCTCTTTTCCTTCTTTGTTTAGTTCATGTATCCCTTGGAAATTAGAAATCGATGACAAAAAATTACAAATTTGCAAAAAGGGAATATTAGATTTGGGGCAATATTTATTACAAATAAATCGATGTAGTACATGCAAATTATAATACATTATAAATGATATATCAATATCTCGTGCCGGTGAATTGTTTTCAACAATTGCAACTCTTTCATCATGTGATGCCTGAGTGGCTTGCCGTTGTGCTTCATTGATGACATCAGTATTATCTATTTGCTGCAACAAATATTGTATGTCAGTTATATTATCTTGCAGTATCTTAAGATATCATCTTTGTTGCTCCGGACGATTGTTTTGTTATCAAGCAACCACTTAGCTAAGGCATTGTTGTTGCATGTTATTATGCTCTGTTCTGTAGGTTCTGTAAAGATTCATCGTTGCATTTGGGACCGTTTTCAGTTAACCCTAAATAGCATATATTCCTCCGCAATAAGTCATGCAATCTGTGAATTTCATTAATGTTATCACTGGTTTTTTACATTTTCAACAGTGCATTTACCGCTTTCGATTGCTGAAGTTATTTCTCTGCTTTAGGCTCCTGCAAGCTTGGCCAAACCAGCCCTGTTCATCCAAACTAAACTGTAATTTAATAAAAATGTTGATTCGTTAGTTCAAGCTGATCAGCCAATTTGACATGATTGGTTCCGCCTGTTAGATATGCTTCACCGTCGCCGAAACCATCGCGAACATTACCTTCGCTACAACATAATTATATTATATTTTTTCATGGAAATAATTAATATAATTATTTTATATACAAATATTTAATATATAAAAGTATATATATTTATATTAAATACATTGTCAAATTGATGTATTGTGTCACAGATTTTTTTTATTCTCCCTCAGATTATTTTTTTGTATCTATGGACAGGTCCGCTAGCCAGATGATTTCTCATCGTATTTTGGACCTTGTCTTCCCACTTGATATGAGAAATTGTCCAAGCCTTCAAACATGACATCTGTATATTGTTCATGTTTCTTAACCATTAAACAGCGAGGTGAGCACAACCGTTCTGTAGACAGTGAATTTTGGTGGCTGGGGTCACTTCATGTTCCTTCCAGAGACGTCCACTCAGCATACTGAATGCAGCATTAGTTTTTGCAAGCTCTGCTGTGATATCGTCATCGACGTTGGAGATATATCCACCCAGATAACCGATTCTGTCTACAATATTCAACCGCAAATCATCTCCTACACACAGACCACTTCACCCATTGAGACTGGATAGTCTGGTGTAAGGCCTCGGTTTTCTTCAGACTGGCTATAAGTCCAAATTTTTTGGCTGTTACATAAAAGAGGTTGAACAGTGTCTGAATCTTATCCTGCTTATGCGCAACCAGTGCACAATCATCAGCAAACTACAGGTCACAGGCAATGTCAATCTGCATCTTTGGCTTTGCTTGTAAACATCTGACGTTGACCATGTTTCCAATCTATACCATAGAAGATCGGTATTTCTGCATTATGGCTTTGAGGGGAAATAGATGTTTAATAATAAGGGAGCCATAACACATCTTTGCTTGGTTTCATTTGCAACATCAAAACCTTAGGATAGCTCACCATTCTCATTTACAATTATCATATAGATAGTTCTGGTTCTCTATCTTGATGTTGCGATGAATACCGTATCCACATAGGAACAGGGAACTAGCGGATCACTGATGTGATGCTCGCTATCAAACTAGATTATCGTTAAACGAATGTATAGTGGTGACGAATTAAATTGATGACTTACGCGACTTAGTTATTATGTTATTTACGACGATAAGAAATATTGTATTTTAGCGAATTAAACACAAACTCACCCATTTTAGTTTGACAGTTCTTTTTTTAAAACAAGGTAATATATACGAATAAAATAAATGCTACGAGTAAAAGCTATTTTTATGTCTTGAGTCCTATCTGTTGCGTGAGTTTTGTTGTGTCCGTCCCGTTTCGTCTCGTCTCTCGAGTAGACTCGTGTGTGTCTTCTGTTCTTCTTCCCGTCTCTTCTCGTATGTCGTGTAGTCCCGTGTGTGTCTTCTGTTGTTCTTCCCTCCCTGCTTAATGCTGCATCTCCTTATATAGGAGAGAGTGCCTGCGCATTGGCGTCTTAGTTTCACATGCGTAAATGGTTGCACATGGATCTAATTACCTCGTCTGTAATACTTTGCATACCAGTCGTGATGAATTGAGTATTTATTGAGTATTTCTCTGTATGTGTCTTTGTTTGTGTATGTGTCTGTGTGTATGCTTTTCGCTGCGTGCATTGCTAACCTCCTATGCTCAGAATGCCTGCACATTGGTCTAGCTTTCGTCAGCGTTTCCCTCTGTGGAACAATAAATACGTCAGTCGTGTTTTTATGTGTTTTAGTCTTTGTATGTGTGTGTGTGTGTTGATTGATTTACATGATATCCCTCACTTTTAAAAAATAAATTTGTCCTCAAATTGAAATGGTAGAGAAAAAATTTCAATCGAGAACTGCATAAGCATATGAAAACATAATAACATTTCGAAGTGTAACATTAAATGCATAAAAAACACATAAAGCGTCTAACACAAAAAAATAGTCATACAATGAATTGTTATATATATAAAAAAAATGTCAATCGATACGTTGTTTATAAAATCTATAAGCCAAATAAAAAGTGTGGAAAAGTATAAGAATAATAGCGCTTGTTAGAATGAATTCATTGATTCCCCAATCATTGTTCAAAAGTTTATAAACATCTTAGCTAGTGATAGGGGTAGATGATGCTTGCTGGAAATGACACATTAAGGTGATGATCAAAGTCAATTTCCTTATTCTAGAATAAAGAAAAATTATGATTAAGAGAAATAATCCACTAATGATAAATTGAACAATAATCAAAACTTTTTGCAAATTTAAATTAACAAAAGAAAAGTCGTTGACGCCTTCATCAATGTTTATTCTCTTCATGATGGAGGTTAAACTAGTTTTAAGTTTTGTATCTAAATTTAGTTTACTGATCGGTGAATCTGCAAACGAAATATTCGGGATGGTCGAAAAGTTGGTATTAAATTTGTTGATTGTGTCGATTGTGTATTCAATGTTATTTTTATCCAGATTAGCTGTCAGAATGTGGTAATTAACAAAATGAATTCGACGAGTCTGTGATCGATTAGCACAGTTTTCAATGGATGGGTAGAACATCAAATTATTGTGATGTTACAATAAAGTTGTATGGTGCAAAAATTACAACCTGGTAGAGGATGAGCATAGTGTTTACTGACCTCTAAATATTCGTTAACGTTTATCATCAGTAGTTTGTTGTCATTGAGAGATATGATCTTAGGTGGTGGTTTGACGTTGTGGACAATGATCTCGCATTCTAATTGGATTTGATCAATTTTGTTGAAAAAAATAAGATTGACACATGAATTATCAGTGATTTTAACTAGTGTGTCGTCTAGTTTAAACTGAAAATTCAGTATTTCTGGTCTTTTGTCAAAAGTCATGTAATAATCATTTTTCTTTGAAACCGCAATAAACTTAGGTAGATTGATAATTTCTGAGCTGTGCATTGAATTGGGAATTGGTATTGGGAATGATAAAACTTTATATAACGTAAATCGGTCAACATAATCTGTCAATGGTATATGAATAAATAAATAAATATCTGCACCGACTCGTGTGATTGTGGAAGTATTTGGAAACCTATAATATCGATCGATGTGAAGATCCAGGATCTGCATGTTCGAGCTTAATATCATCCAATTACTTGAAACATTAGTCAAAAATTCGCGTAACTGTGATGGTGATACAAAGTAAGGATCAAGATAATCTTTCTTTGAATTGAATAGTGCATGTTTTAGAAGAATTAACTCATCGTACAAGTGCTGATAATGACGTGTTGAAGTTTCGTGCATGCGTGTTCAATACTTGAAAACTTTCGATTGATTTCAGTGAAAATAACAGTTGATTGAGACTGTTGAAATTGCAGCGCTTCATATAACTGATCAATGCGATCGTTGGTGATCTTGTTGATAGCTAAAATTCTTCATTATTTTTCTTGAGAAGTAATTTTCCTTCCTTGTCGAATAAAGCGTTTTGTTCCACATAATTCATAAGTTTTTCGTAATCTTTTTCAGCTGTTGTTCCAAACAAGTATTTGCTAATTTTGCCAACGACATTCAGTAATCCTCTTCTCTGAATAAATTTAGTTACTTTTTTCTCATTAGGTAAAATGTAACGAAAGTCTTTAACAAAATTTGTTAGCTGTTGGTGATAGGAATTCATGATGATACGAATCAATTCCTCTGATGCAGGATGAGTAAAGTTGTAGGATTGTTGTGCAATTTGACGTTTGTGATTTCTGAATAATCCTCTTTGTGCTGTTCCTGGCTTTTTTTTTGCCTCAGGATTATTTTCTGTGATTGTTTCTTGTTTTCATTCAGTTGGTTGTGGTTTAGTCAGTAAAATATTAGGTATTTTCATCTTGATAACTATCTGATAGTAGTCAGATACCACATGAAATTGACCGAGGGTGTGGAATTTCACTCCATGTTCAAGAAATTCTTTGTCGTCGTATGCATTAGCAATGCCGATAAGTAGTAGGATAATCCTGAAATGATAATCTGAAAATATTAGAAGTTAACAGATTAACTTAATAGAGTATATTTTTACTCATTGATCGAGTATAAATTGTACGTTTACTGAAATGATAATCGTTTATTAATGATTGTGGAACTATATGTTTGTCGAGCCATTCTTCTTCATTGTTGGTGTATTTGACTAAGTATTTAACGGGTTTCAACACTGTTTTATTAATAACTTCCTTAATGATTCTTGTTGTTAAATCGACTGCGCTTTGTTGTTTGTCGTTCTTGTCTTGATCAACATCATAAAACTTTTTGAGTGAGTTACCGTTCACTGTGTATTTGAAGGGCTTATCAGTGTTGATATCTTTTAATAAATATCGATTGTAGCCTTCATTTTTTTCTACAATGAAAGGACCTACGTATTTTTGATAGAATTTAGGATTTTCTCCTACTCTTCTTCTTCTGTTCAGTAGCCAGACTTTACTGCCTTCTACAAAGTTGATCGGAGATTTGCCTCTGTCAAAAAATGCTTTACTCTTAATTTGGTTATTAATAACGTTCTGTTTCGTTTTTTCCTGAATGATTTGTAAGCGTTTTACTAGCATTTGAACATATGGATCGATGTTCAGATTATGTTTTAACTGTGATGAGTAAGCGATATCTATAAAACGATTCATTTTTCTACCATATATGTCGGGTTCAATATCTGCGTCGGCTCAAAATCAAATATTTGTTCCTAACGGAAATAATATCATTCAAGTACATGAACGATAACAAATAATAACGATGATAAATGGCTCTGGAAAGCGAATATTAACTACAGATGCTAAGGAATATTAATAATTGTCAAACATAATACAGGAAAGTAATCGAATATAATTTGTGATATATAACCTGAGCTAACAATAACATAATAATAGTCAATTTCAGTTTATAAATAATAATGCTATAGAAATTCAATAATAATAAGAAATCATAAAATTGTGACAATGTTATTGTTGCGGGCGTTGACGCAAACGCAACAACTGGACTGAAGCTGTGGAAGAGACGTTGTTGTGGAACGCGTCAAATGAAACTCTACCGACGACGAAGTGTTGACTTGGACGTTTTAACTGGAGTGAAGCTGTTGAAGAAAAGTTGCTGTAGAACGCGTCAAATGAAACTCTACCGACGACGGAGTGTTGACTTGAACGTTTTAACTGGAGTGAAGCTGTAGAACGCGTCAAATGAAACTCTACCGACGACGAAGTGTTGACTTGGACGTTTTAACTGGAGTGAAACTGTTGAAGAAAAGTTGCTGTAGAACGCGTCAAATGAGCTCTACCGACGACGAAGTGTTGACGGGACGCGTTAACTGAAATGAAGGTGTAGAACGCGTCAAATGAACTCTACCAACGACGAAGTGTTGACGGGACGCGTTAACTGAAATGAAGATGTAGAACGCGTCAAATGAAACTCTACCAACGACGAAGTACTGACGTGGTCGCGTTAACCGAAATGAAGCTGTTGACAGGGCCAAGTTCCTCTCTCACACTTATCCAGCTCTGGCGTACCTACCTACCAAAGTCCCAAGCCACAACCCAACGAAGTAAATTACCAACTACAACCGAACGTGAACTA